TCATAAATTGCCCCTTAATCCACATTTAACCTGCCACCACCGTGGATTTGGTTGGGGAGAGAAAAGGTTCCTGCCATCACTGAGGTGTCTTTTAGCCATTAGCCTGTCAGCAAGGAAGCAGGAGAGCCTCCTGGTATGTCCTGTGTCAGCGTGAACAGGTAATTCTTGGAGAAAGGGGCCTCAACAAGGTCAACACGGATCAATCAGTATAGCTGTCTTCCCTCTTCCCAGTCTAAGTGCTAAGTCGAGGTAATTATCTGCTGGCTATAGCTATATATTTACACTGATATGAGACTGATATTCTTGTTGCTAATCCTCCAAAAGAAGGATGTGTTTAAAGTTCATCTGCAATGTGATTCTTGTTGACTTGTTCATTCACTGTCTGTTGTCTCAGTGTGACCCTGTCTTTGTCAACACTGTATACAGATAATGCATGAGTTTACATCTCAGACTAGGTGATCTGTGCACATTGCATAAGCCTGTTTCTGTGTATCTTTGTGTCCTCAAGCACACAACACAAGTAAAGAAACAGTATCATCACCAAAAGAAGGAATAATTCATCTTACACAACAGGAGACAGTGGGGGTGAGCCTCGACACAACCAGAGTGTGAGTTACACTCTGAGATAGCTTCAGAAAATGTTTTACACACAAGCATGCAAAGACATTTACCACATATTAGACAATTGTCTCTTGATTGTGGAAATGCAAATAAAGGAATAGGTAGCAGATACGGGGCCAGTTCCAAAATTGCTGGGACTCTGCTTCGGTCGCTGCAGAGACGCACTTAAATCATTATTACACAACCCCCCCGTTACACAATCCCTCCAAGCCTTACTTCTATAAGTCCCCCCTCCCCATAGCTCCCTCAGTCTCACTCTCTCTCTCATCTTACTTATTCTCTGCTTGTCTTCATCGCAGCCTCCCTGCAGGAGTACACTTCTGTCTGTCAGTCCTGCTTTTTGCTGTGGTATCCAGTTGACTGTCATTTGACTTCTAATCATGTCTGTTCAGTTTTGTTTAGCGCTGCTGGCTCTCTCCTCGCTGACTGCTGCGTCTGATCCAGGCTGTGAAGAGCTGCTTAAAACTCTGGAGGATCGAAGCCGGGTACGTCAAAGCCTCAGCACTGACACTCAGAATAAAGCAGAATCCAGTTTTCCTTGTTTTAAAAGGGCCCAGTTGGTGGGTTTACACGCATTAATCCAACCAAACTCACCCCCAGTTGAACAAATACATAACAGCTACTGCTAATATTTATTACTGTCGTGCATTTACGAAACTCCAACATCTGGAAGGAACACGCAGGAGATGGCTGTGTAATTCAAACTGTAGTTGGAATTGAAGTGTCACCGTTGTTTCCATGGGCTCTCATGTTGGAGTTTATCGCTTGAACACACCATCAAGATAAAAATCCAATTCAACACATGTGGTGCCTTCATAAATGGTTCTAAATAAATTTCATTGTTTGTCATTTAAACAAGCCAAGAGGATTGTCAGATCTCTGCACCTGTAGAAATCTCCTTGAAAATTGGGCTTTAATTTTTGCTCATCTGTCTCCTAGATTCATGGAAAATGGATATACTATGCTGGAGTATCATCCAATGAAGGAATCGCGGATCTTAAAAACATCCAGAGCTCCTGGATCGAACTCTCACCCATTCCTGACAGCGACGATATGACCCTGCGCTATGGAGACAAAATGTAACCGGTGAACTTTTAAAAACCACTGTTGATACCTTGAAGTGCATAAATTAACTTGTTTTTTTATGTGCGTATTCTGTTTATTCCTCCGTACAAAGGGGCGGAAAATGCGTTTATGGAAGCGTTAATGCCACCTTTTCAGGAAACTCTACTGCTGTGACATGTAAGTAAATGATGATGCATATTTAACGATCAACTAACGCTTCAAGTGCACGACAACGTGTTAACGCTCCGTGTCTCTGTCTGATAGTTTACTATAACTCAACCAGCCATGAGCATGTTGGGAAACATCTGGTGACATGCCCCGACTGCATCCTCTGGACAGACAACTCAGTGTCGGTGGGCAGCGGAGAAACCAAAAGAGGCAGAAACCTCTACCTCTTCAGTGAGTTCACAGATACCTCCAACTGTTTGTAGCTGCTAATATGGTCACTCAAACCCCTTTTCTGATCGATGATTTAACCTCTAAAAACTTTGTTGGTATTCATTATAGACTTTTATACTGTTTTAAATATTTTTTCTGATAAGTTGGTGTATTTTTTGTTCCAAATGCACGACAAATCTTCCTCTTTTTAGATTAAGAAAAAAAAAAATCTTCAAAAAAAAAACCTGTCTGGGGTCCGAAAAGTCCCCAAAAGTCCTGAACAGGGTTAAAATAGCTGAGGTGTAACTCAAAACTGTTCAAATCTGCAGCTTTGTGACGGCGCCAGCTCCCTCCCTGACTGTCCCTCTGCACTCGCTGCAGCTTGAGCACACCAGCTCACCTACAACTCTGCTCAAACACTGTAAAACTGTTCTGTGCTACAAAATGCCAAGTTGGGATATTGGAGAAATGTAGCCATACATATTTAAAATGGAAACAATTTTGATGAAGAGTAGTTGACAGGATTGGCTCCGTGTGAAACTCTGGAAGTCAGAATCTGTGTTTTGATGGTAGAAATGCCCAATCATGGTGTTGACTGCTTATTTCCTGAAAAACACTACATAGACATGTTAAGATTTTCACTGTGGAGGGTCAGCACTGTCAACATTTTTAACTGTCTTAATGATTGATTTGACACTGCAGATGTTTCGACTTGTCGATGAAATAACTTTTCCTTCTCTTCCCTCCAGCTAAGTCTGGGGCTCTGGACGCTTCTCATCTCGAAGTTTTTAAGAAACAGGCTGAGTGTCTCAACTTCCCAACAGACTTCCAATTTGGAGAAAATACAGGTAGAATGCTCTCTCTTTCACTTTCTCTCATTCTGTCTTTACGCACAACAGCAACCAGAATGCGACGTTTACCAGCTTGAATTTCTTCCTGTGTTTCAGATCTGTGCTCCGACGAGAAGGAGGCCGCCTCAGACATGACCAAGGAAAACCAATAGACAAAACACTGTTATTGCCCTTCAAATCTGTCCTCGAATTTCTATCCAGATGTGCTTCCTTTCATTGACAAATCCTCCTGTACCACTTAGATGTGTTGACAGATGACTGTTGCAGTTATCCATCATTACACCTGTTATCTTCTGTAGATACCTTTTGCTGTATTAAAGAGAAGTGAATAGACTGATTTCACATTTCCTGGCAGATTCATTAAATCATGATGGAAAAAAGATCTTTTCTTGTCTTCACATAAAGCTTAATAAAAGGACACTGTGCGTTCGCATGCTTCTGTTTTGCATCAATACGATCTATTTGTACGTTCTGGCTGTTGGCATTTATCGCTGACACGACTGCGTAGCCTCCACTGAATGCTGACCAGAACAGGCTGCAGCAGAGTAAGGGTGTTTTTATGAGTCACAGCCACTGTGACTAAAAAGATAGAAATACTAATCAGGGCTCGCTGATTGTTTCATTCATGCTTATTCCTGTCCGGCCTCGACGGCGGTCTTTTCATGTTGTCTGCTTGTTGAAAGGCCTCTTGAAAGATGGAGAGCCTCGGTTTCACATGGCTGTGAGAAACTTCAGCTGGAATGAAGCCCTTTCACAAGTTGTTTTGCACGACACGGTGATCACCCTGAAAGAAGAAAAGTGATTTTTAGTTTTTTTTAACTTTCTTTTCATTCTTTAAAAGCTCCCTTTTCCCAGATTACATTAACGCATCTTGTATTCTACTATGGGGCTATTTTTTTTATTATTATCATTATTATATGTGAGGATTTATTCCCTCTACAAATAAATAAATAAAAGAAAAAGAACAGAAAAACCCATCTCTGAACTATTTCAGTGAGAGAAAAAAAAAAGTGAAGGAGTGTTATATAATACTGCACCTGCCCTGAGGAAAAGATCTGATGTCAAAGACGCAAATGTCCATGCTGAGTCTGTTTGACAAAACAAAAAGCTCCGTCCATGCCGAGTCCGTTTGCTCTGTTGGAGCCACTTTCTTTTTTTTTTTTTCTTCTGATATCTAGTTTATATTTTTGTTGCTTTTGGCCACCAAATAACACTTGTTTATTTTGAGAGCCAGTACCAAAGGAAGTCAAGGTTGATTTTGGTTACAGAGGAGGCAGACGGTTTTATGGTTTATGCTGCGTATTTTACCCTTTAGGAGTTTGTAGACACTAAATAATGATAAATAAAGATCAGACAGCGGGCTGTCTGCATCTAGTAAATGTGAACATAGATCATAAGCAAATGGGGCTTTTTGACTGAAAGCACAAGTGTAGCAAATACTCGCTCTGATGTACACTGTATTGGCAATTAGCAGTAGTTTATGAAAATGTGCATAATGTTTTGAAGGTATCGCTATCACTGGGAAATCACAGGAGAGGTTTCTGTGTTTGTGTCCGTGTGTGTGTGTGTGTTTCTTTCTATTCTCCTGCCGTTGTGTGTGTGTGAGAGAGACTCTGTGCAAGGGAGTGTTCGCATATTGAAAGATGCAGGGGTCTTGCTATTCAGACTCTGCCAGCTGGCTATTATGTAACAAGATAAATAGGACACAAGCCCCTGCTGTCTGGATGTGAAAAGTGAAACACTTCATCCCCAGAGGAGAGAGAGCGAGAGAAAATATGTGTGTGTGCGCTTGTGTTATGTTATGGGGACATAAATCTGTCTACACAGACATATTGTGGAGACAAAAAGCAAACTCACTGCAATACAAATGATTACATTTTAGGATGAATGTCTGGTTCAGGTAAGAGTTATGGCTTGGCAAGTAGTGCAGGTTTAGATTTAAGTAATTAGGTAATGAGTTGGAAAAAAAAACAGCTCTGTGTGTGTGTGTGTGTGTGTGTGTGTGTGTGTGTGTGTGTGTGTGTGTGTGTGTGTGTGTGTGTGTGTGTGTGTGGCCCAGCCCACCGTTACAGAACTCTTCCCCCAGTTCCTTTGTGGAGGCTTTAGCTGGCAGGATCCCTGACATTAGCGTTGCTCTCTGGCTGCCTGCTGTCTCGAGCCATGGCTGCACAGCTGGTTGTAGCTCTGCTGGCTTTGGCCTCCCTGGGTGCCGCATCTGAACCGGACTGTAAAGAGCTGGTCAAGCCTCTGGTACTGGACAGCCACAGCCCCGTGAGTATCAGCGATCATTTGTTATGAGCTGGTCATGCGTGAGGAGGCTTGAAGCTGAGCTGTGCTTTGCAGTTAATTTTACTTTCACTGGAATTTGCAACAATTGATTGAAAATCTTTCCAGAAATAAAACAAATGTCTCTGGAGATGTGACTTGGAAGTCTTAAAATATACAGTTTGTCATTAATAGTTACAGCATTTGTGCAGCAATGCATGTGTTATCCTGGTTTATCACTTTGCTTGAACCTGAAGCAGGTTTAGTTTGATGCACACTGATGCATCTTCTAGAAATCCAGAGTTCATTACATGCCTGCTTCACAGAAATCCATCCATCATCTATACACCGCTTAATCCTCACTAGGGTGGCGGGGTGACTGAAACCTATCCCATCTGACTTAGGGTGAAGGCAGGGGACACCCTGGACAGGACACCAGTCTATCACAGGGCTACTTCATAGAAATGTAATGGTTATATTATGTGTTTTTATCAAGCAACTGCAGATTTTTGGTAGAAAGTTTCATTTTTTTAATTTAGTTACAATTATTAACAAATAACAGTCTTTTTTATTAGATGGAAATAAACCAGTATTGTGCAACTAACACATTTCACCCGAACATCAGCAGATCTCCTCATGGGAGTCAAGATATTTCCTGCTTTCTTTTTTAGAACAAAACGTTCTCTGGCTTAAATATTTTTGGCTGTTTTGGGGGAGATCATATTACAGTTTCCAAGATCAACAAGAACTTTCAGTCTCATGAAAATTATGATGAATGATAAGTCATCTCTTTAAAAACAAACAGTCCAACCATGTGGATCTTTTGCATGTTTGTGTGTGTTTGTGTGTGTGCGGCAGATCTATGGGAAGTGGGTACTTCACGTAGGCTCCTGGGACCAACCAGGGCTGAAGGACGACCTGGTTACGGTGAACAGCTCCTGGGTTGAGCTGTCGGCTTCCTCGGACAACGGAGTCATGACCATCTACTGGGCCGACCGCCTGTAAGGAACATTGTGCCATTTTTCTCTCACATCCAAATGATAAATTTGTCTGGAGCTGTAAGAGTAAACTAAAGGCTTGACCGTTTTTTTTTTTTCCTTTTCTCTCATCACAGAAAGGAAGATAAATGCCTGCAGGGTTTAGCCAATGCCACCATTTCAGGAATGACCAGTCACACCACTTGTACGTGTCTCAAAATATGTGCTGTGTTTTGTTTTTATTATTTTTACACTCTGACTCACCATCTCTCTCTGTGATGTGGGTGATGCATGCAGCTAAATCACATTACCCAGCTGTAGGTGGGTTTCATAAAAATAAAAAAAACAGTCATGCAAGGCTCCAAATATTGGAATATTTTTTGACTTTTCTTTTTTTATAGCTCTTCTTTTCATCTTTGAAGGTTACTATTAACATTAGTAGTATTTTAACACTTTTCCACAACTTCCCTTTCCTGCAGTTATGATCCATGGCCACAGTTCGTACCATGATGGGAGGTACTACGAGACCTGCAGTGACTGCCTCCTGTCTGAAGACACCACCCTGCTTCCTGATGGCAAGTCAAAAGGACGATACCTTTTCCTGTTCAGTAAGGCCTTTTTTTTTATTTATTTACGCTTGTCACTTATTTCAGTAATAATACACTGATTAATATTTTGGGATGCTATTCTGAACACCTCTGTTCTCTCTCTGCTGCTTCTTTTAAAGCACGAACCGGCGCTCTGGAGCCCTCTGAGTTAGAGACCTTCAAGAGGCAGGCGGAATGTCTTAAATTCCTCCCAGAGTACCACTACGGAGGCACTGGTCAGCAATCATTGCAGCTCTGCATCTCCCCTGCACCCGGTGCAATGATCAAAGCTCTTCATTCTGTGATTTCCTCCTATTTCAGATCTGTGTCCGGATGACAGAGAAAAGGCTTCAGATGCTGAGGAGAAAGCAGAGAATGATCAGGCCGAGACTCAGCCGACTACAGCGTAAAGTAGAGCACAGAGAGGTCACGGCTCTGTGAACCACACATCGGAGCAAATCCAGCTTAATATGTACTAAATAGTGTTATAATGTGATCTATGCATGCACTGCTATAATGTTGTGCTGTAGAATAACTTTTTGTTCATATGGTTTAGGCAGCAACAGAGTTCAAGACCTGCTGGTTTCATGTCATGTAAAGTCAGTGGTAAGAAATACGGAGTCTGCGTTCCTAAATCTGAAATCTGGTGGCTGAAAAATCCATCTAAAAGCCTCAATTATATCTACTTAGTATTATTTGTATATAACTTTTTTTTCCCCATGCTTGTGTGTGGTAAATAAAAAAAAGTTCTTACTCTGCCTCTGTTGTGTTCAAGTCATTTATTTCTACTTACTCAGAAAAAGGGTCTGGTTTATGAGCACCAGCATTTCGTCCTTTTTCAAAAGAACAGAAAGCTGCCAGACACTGCTGACATATGTCAAGATTAAACGCTTTATCAAAACTATTACAGCTCCCCCGAAGTGCACCGCTGTTCCCTGAAACACCAACAAAGAGCGTTGCCGGGTAACTTCACTGTCAGGGGCGAGTTAAAAAAAAAACAAAAAGAAAAGATGTCAGACTTTTAAACTGTCGCCACAAGGAGTCCACAAAACCCCGCAGGGAAACGACCTTCGTTCTACTGATGAAAAGCTGCTTCAAGTCCCTTTTTTAAAGGTTTCAACGGTCCAAGACGAGCCGTGGCACTTTGCCGGAGTTCATTCAGGAGCAGCGGTGTGGGCAACAGAGGACTGTTGAGGTGGCCTTTCAGTGCGAAGCCAAAGAAATCTGTATGTCTCTGTGTGGTCATTAAAAAACCTTCACTGGGGCATTTGAGCATGTAGGAACCCCCCCCCTCCTCCCCCCCGTATAAGCACTTGCACAACAACTTCTTTTGTCTGAAACCCCAGAGGGAAAATGAATCAGCGGTAGAAGTTTTCTGTTGCAGGTTTCGGCACCATCCTCTGTCTGACCATGGCTCTGGCTGTTGTCGTGTTTCTGTTGACTCTCACTTCCTTCAGTGCAGCTTCTGCACCAGACTGCAAGGACCTGATCAAACCTTTTATGCCAGAAGACCCCAAACTGGTAAGACGAGCTCATGATACTTTTTTTTTGGTCTTATTTATCCCAATGAAACTTGACTTTATGTAAAAACAACAAGCGTGTGCAGTCATCGTGTTAAAGCTACATATATCTTTTTGCATGAAGGTATTTGGAAAATGGGTGTATGTCATGGGAGCTGGTGACCCCAAGTCGTACCACAACGCACTGGCATCCCTGAAAAGCTCCTGGATCGACTTGTCTCCCACTTCTAACAATGTAATTGTGACCCTGCGATGGGGAGATCGTTGCTTGTGAGTTTACATATAACTGTATAGAAGTTTCTCACTGTATCAGAGAAAAAAAAAAAGCTTGTGAAACCAAATTGTGTCTCAACTTGTTGCTCGTCAGTGACCGGTGTATCTTGGGGGAGGTGAATGCAACAGTCTCAGGAATTGCCACCACATTTCGCAGTAAGTGAACTACAGGCAGGTTATGTGTAGATGAAAAAAAAGACATCTATCATTTGAATGACAAAAGTGTTTAAGAAAGAATTCTGTATAATAATCAATCACTCTTCTTCTGAAGAAAATCTGTCAGACCACAAAGGACACATCCTGCAGACTTGCTCCGAGTGCCTGCTGTGGACGGACACCTTTCGAAACGGGGACGTCACCGGTCGATACGTCCTGCAGTTCAGTAAGTCTGGTCCTCGTCAACACATTCACATTGAGATTTAAATTTCTCCTCTTTAATCCTCTCTTCTTTTTCAGCAAGGACAGGAAAAATAGATCCCAAAGATGTTGAAATTTTCAAGAAGCAAGCTGGGTGCCTGAACTTCCCGGAGAACTTTCACAGCTACGACGGCAAAACAGGTGAGTTACTATTCAGCAGCCTGCAGTGACTGTAAGTGTGACTCTACTGGACACGGCAGCTTACAGAGAGTGCCACAAGGTGGAGATGTTGGATTGTAAAATGCAATATGTAAATATGATTACTTATGTCTTTGTTCAGCTAACTTCATTTTTTTTTAAATTCACACAATGAAATATAAGTAGATTTAGAAGAGTCATATTTGCTTTCTTCTTACAGTTTGTCTTGTTGTTTTCCAGAGCTGTGTCCCGACAACAAAGAGAGCACTGAGTGAGCAGCAACATAGAAGAAAAGAGATACACACATTTGTATTAAGAAAAAACACGTATAATGTTATTTGTTCTGACTGAATTTTCTGTACTGTACACACAGATTCTTGGCTTCATGAACACCAGTACATCAAGTGATTAATGATTCAACCTACTTTGAATATTTACTTAAGGAACTTGTAACAGACGATGAGATACTGTATTGCATTATTAAAATCATATAGAGAGCACAGTTTCTGTCTGCAACCAACGCAGTTCATACGACATTACATGGAACATTTTTTTGATTTAAACTGCATTATTATAGATGCACTAACTGCTTCATTTTCATATTTCACTGAAAGCAAGAATATGATGAAAAGAATGACTGCACATATATATTTTATGATTACAAAGCAGCATAGAAGCTAACTGTTTTTTCAGGTACTGATACATCAAATATGCTCGCTTCAGTAAAATAAATCCAGCACTGCAGGGCACTAGAGATTTGTTTTGATTCAACTTGAGCACTTGGTAATACACACCGACTCTGATGTGTCACACTGTGGATGTGTGTGTGCAAGTTCACAGAGTTTCTCAGAGCCAGGCTCCTCATGTCTGTTTATTTAAGCCTCCAGCCTGCTGTATTGGCTCCCCAGGCCGGCCTGACCGCCCTCCATCTTGCATGACCTGCTGCTCTCTGTCCATCCGCTGGATCTTGTGCTGTGTGTTTCTGAGCTGCTCCTTGCTCGATCCAGTCGCCTACACCTGAGTAGTGCCGCCACCTGCTTCTGGCACTGAGAGGAGCCAAAGTAATAAAGGACTGGATCCAGGCAGCAGCTGAGGCTGCCTATACACATGGCGAGCAGGTAGGCCTGGTAGGAGCTGTCGTTGGACTTGTGGGCCAGCTGAACATAGTGAACCATCAGGATGATGTTGGTGGGGGTGAAGCAGACCACAAACACCAGCAGCACCACCACAGCCATCACCACGGCCCGGGTCTTCCTGGAGCGGTTCTCCACATTGGCTGCTGCCAGAGCCTGAATGATTTGCACGTAACAGACGACAGTGAACATCAGAGGGATGAAGAAGAAGATAGAGGAGTAGATGGGGAAGAAGTAAAGGTAGTAAGCCTGCAATTTTTCCACGTCCTGCACATCGTGGCAGGTGGTGATGCCGAGGTCTGATAAATGGACGGTCTGTCCTGTGACCAGCAGGGGGGAAACTCCTCCCAGAGACAGGAGCCACATGGCAGCGCACACAGCTGAAGCAGTCTGAGGGCTTCGCCACGTCAGAGAGTTTATGGGGTAAACTACAGCCAGGAAGCGGTCGATGCTGATGCACATGATGAGGAGGACGGAGCAGTACATGTTGCAGTAGAAGGCTGCAGTCACAACTCTGCACATGAAGGAGCCGTAGATCCAGTTGTTGCCATGGTAATGGTAGGCGATCTTGAAGGGAAGGAGCAGGCCGAGCAGCAGATCCGCACAGGCCAAGTTCAGCATGTAGATCACTGCCGGCTTCCTGGGACGGATGTGACGCACAAACATTACCATGGCAACGAGGTTGAGGGGCACACTGATGATGAAGACCAGGGTGTAAACAGTCGGGATGAAGCTCGTTGCCAGGCGACCCTGGAGAAATCCTTTGGCTTCTTCTGAGACAAGAAAGTGCTTCTGTGCGTGATGATGGCGTTTTTTCACAGGCTCCTGTTCAGAACCAATACCAGAACCTCCATCATCCCCCAAAAGGTCTAATGCAGACAAGTCAATGTAGTCCATAGGCTCATCAGTGACCGTTACAAAGTGACCAGAAAAAGTCCGAGGGAGGAGAACGGAGCCTTTAAAGGAGACACAAGAAACGAGAACACAACAGGAGTTTTACTTAATCAGGTTTTGAAATGTCTCTGATAGGTTTCTTTCTCTGGATAAAGAGTAGTTATTAAAGGGCCTGTGGCTTTCTTTTTATTCAGACTGTATGTGGTACCCTTAAACCACCAGTACTGGAAAATAGGAAGTAGTCAAAACATTTATTTATACATCAAGTTTATACAATTAGATTGTTAGCTTGACTGGGTTCCAGCTGATTCATGCATCATTTATAATCCACGCAAAATATCCTACTTTTATTTTCAAGGGTGATAATAAATTTCACTGCTGCATTTTTAAACCTCAACTGAGTGCAAAACTGCTTCAACTGTGGTCACATAATATGACCCAATAATCTATTAAAAACCGTTGCATAAAGTGAATTGTTTTACAGAAAGTTACTCACCATTTTGTGAAGGGAGTGCAGAGCTTTGGAGAGAAAACAGAACAAAGACGCCTACAGACAGGTGAAGCATGGTTTCGCTGTAGATCCCCCAAATATTGAACAAGTGAGTTGAAATTATGTTTGCCAGAAGAGTCACTCAAATGTTTTTTTCCCCATCAGATTCTAACAAGTTATTGCAGGCCAGTGAGGATACTCCGCCTCCTCGTCACTGCACATCTCCTCCCCTTCACAGAGAAATAATACGTACCAGTGGACAAAATATTTTTTCTTCAAAGGGGGAGGTTGTCTGATCAACTGAGAGAGGAAATGTTAATAGAAATATGTGAAACAACTGGGAAAAAAAACAGTTTAGGTCATGTGTAGTTTATTATGCACATATTTAGAAGTCAGTTATATAGTTAATTAAAAATGTCAGTTGTAGTTTTTAAAATGTTTGAATGTTTAATTCCTTAAAACATGTTTCTTTAAACGCTTTAATTAAAAGGCACTGGTAAACTATAGTATTTCATGAAGCCACGGAGGCAGGTTTTCGACATACACGGTCACAATAACAATGTATTTCCTTGTATCGTTTACATACAAAACATGAATACCATTACAATTTAATTCTTAAAAATACATTACATTTACAATCACCATGTGGGAAAAATACAGACAAATTTTTTTGGTGTGATCCATCAAATTCTCAGCAGGTGAAACAAAACGCTGTCTTGCACCGTGTGATGTTTTCTTATCAATTTGGTTTTGTTCAGCGAACTCAGTACTGTCAGAAGGCACAACCTGTTTCCTCCTCCACTCGTGTTGCTTTTTTCCATGATATTCTATATTTACTCATTTTCCGTAGAATTTCTTGTTCAGGAGGAAGATGAGTAAATTGACGTTCACTTTGGCTTTGTCGAACATTTTCATGACGGCCACACCCTCATACTGTAGCTGGAGGAGGTCCTGCACACAACATACAACAGATCCTCTGAGAAACTCCAACAGAACAACTTGTCAACTCCAAGTTATTTCTACAGATGTGAAGCACATTTAGCAGATTTAAATGTGACTATTGGAGAAAATATTGCATCAATAATAAAGTTACTTTCTCTTTCTCTTAATCAATGCAGCCATCACTTTACAGCCTGCTCTAGTCTGGAATGACACATTCATACTGTACTGTACTGTCTATCTGATCTTTTCATATTTAATAGTGTTTATCACTACACAGGTCTATTACTGCAGTCTGAATTGGAAAATACTGGCTTTATTTCCCAGATAAATCCTGCCAGTAGTCCAGTGAGAGGGGGGACAGGAAATTTAACCATCTGTCACCAAGGTTTAGTGCTGACTACTGAGCTGCTTTATTTCATGAAGTTCTGACGCACTCGTGCAATGTTTACCTGGAAATGAAGCTGGACCTTTTCCATCTCAACCCCCATAAACTTGGCCTTCACCTCAAAATCTCCAACTTCCTCAGTGGGCGAGATGTCAAACATGACATTTTTGAACCTGAGAGATTAAAAAGACAATAACAGTACAGCATGGGACACACAGGAGAGTAGCATAATGTTCAAAATTATAGCTGATTTTTGGAATTTTAACAGCCCTTTGGAGAAACTCCAAAACACCTCATTTTGCCTGTGTTGGCAGTTTGGGGCTTCATATTTCTAGATAATTAGTCTGAAAGTAAAAGTATCTTCACTTCTTCTCGGCTGCGGTCTCAGCTGAGTATAGTAATGGCCATGAGAATAAAGGTGAGACAGGACATGAAGATAAATGTCATCCAGATGAGTAGTACTTCTAATAATAGTTTTCTTTTCACTGCTCTCAATAGATGCACATTTTTTTCCTCTCTCTTGTGATATGGTCCATTTTTAACCAGCATTAAATGGAGACACACAGTGATTTGCAACAGGGTCATAGTCACACTAGACAGAATTCAGGAAATATGTTGCTGAACCATCCTAAATTTTGTTCAGAGTTTATATATGTGTTATTTGGAACCCAAAAAGGCCCCAGAATGTGAATATGTAAGAGCATATATATGAATGTACCCATGTTTCTTTCTAAAATGTAGTCTTTGGTTGACATTTCTCCAACTCTTAAGGCCCCTAGATATTAAATTTCAAAATTAAGAAACATGGAGGCAACTTGTAACTCTGTACATATAATAACAATACATAGACCCTTATGCACATTAGTTTTTGTGATCCTATGAGTGAGCTCACATCACCATCTTAGGATGTCAAAATAGGAAAAAACTGGAGCCCTGGCTTAGCATACTTGGCACAAAAAAATGTCAACCAAGTATTTCCAAGTAGGAAATATGGATACATTAATACATACACTAACAGAAACTTTCTGGGGCCCCAATACCACAATTTGTTTTTTGCATTTTTTTTTTCCCCCAGGGCCAATAATAAAAGAACTGGCGTCTACTGGAGCCATGGGATCATTTGGATCTCCTGGAAACTATTTTGTCTGTGTCCTCATCAAATTTTACGGCATGGGGAAGGCAAAAATATAGATTTTTTTTAAACATTTAGAATGGTACCAGAGGTGAGGGTGAAAATACAAAAACTCACAGGTCTGAAAATATATGAAATTCTCAAAATACAGCCCAAATATTTTACAGTTAGTATTCGATATCAAGCAACAAACACATAAACCCCAAACCGGAGGCTGAGATGCAAGCAACTCCCATTCTGAAATAACACAGACTGACCCAACAAGAATGTTGGTTGAGGCACAGATTTGATGATCAGCATTACAACAAAAGTTCCTCTGCACATCACAGTATGAAAGCAACAACAGAAATTTGTTAAGTCAGTATAAACAATATTTTAGGGTCTTGCCTTTACATTTGATCAACATTTTTATTATTATTTTTGACAGAACTGACGAAAAACTCAACTTACTGGTTTGTCTGAAGACCTTCTATCTCCAGGATGACTCCTTTCTCATGCAGCCTCGCCGCTGTGTACTTCAGAGACTGAGGCTTCCACTTCTTACTGCCCTTATCATCTCCTTTGCTGTCCAGTTTTATAGATCTGCGTGAATTTCTGGATACACAAAACAGTCATTTAATATGTAAAACGACAAGAAATCTGGTTATGGCATCAAAACACAGATTACAGGGAACAAGAACATTCCATGCAAACAATGAAACTAATTACTTTTTAAACCCTTTATCCGAACCAGGCTTAAAAAATAAAGCTACAACTCACTTCCTGTTGAGATTATCCAGGCAAGTCTTGATGTATGTGTCATAGTAGTTCATCTGGTCCTGGTAGAACACAGTTTTTGAGTTGAGTGCTGTCAAAGTCTGCTGGAGCTTCACCAGCTCGGCCTTCCTCCTCTGTCTGTAGCGCCTTTGGTAGCGAATGTCCTGTCAGGAACCATTTTCAGTAATAGTTAGACACCGCTGAGAGGTGAATACTGAAGACATGCATCTTTAGATGTGAAAACAGAGCAGCTTAGGAACCTTTGCTATGTCGTTGATGAGGTCTTGGTATTTGTTGTGTGCAGTGACGAGGCCAGCCTGCTCCAGGTTACGGAGGTTCCTCAGGATCTTCCTCTTCTTCTGCTCAAGAGGCAGCTGGCTGTCCTCCAGTACTGCTGGGCTGCTCTTCAGACCCTCTGGTGTCTGAGCATCCTGGACTGCTCTGCGCTCTATGATCTTAATATGCTCTGACTCCTTCAGGAATTACGTCATATAAGAAATTCACAAATTACGTTGTAAATAACAAGCAAAAACAAAATTAATTGCATATATTCTTGTTGATATTGGGCATATGGGTAAGAAAAAACAAGAATAACAAACGATCACCTGTGGTGCCGTAGCCGGAGTCTCAAGAATTTCAGGCAGCGTCTCACCAGCTTGAATCCGAATCACATCTACGATGAGCTTTTTAGTCCTGTTGCACACAAACACGTGGACAACAATCACCTGTGAGCTTTCTCTCTTTGTTTTAATTCAGGTGTAACATCACTAAAGCAAAAAATAAGAGGCTATAGTCAGTAAATAATCAATAGACCAAGACCACACACACACAGCATGCTGATATGTAACATCAC